TCCGGACACTTTCACCCCCTTCCAGTCCGGACACTTTCACCCCTTTCCAGTCCGGACACTTTCACCCCCTTCCAGTCCGGACACTTTCACCCCCTTCCAGTCCGGACACTTTCACCCCGCCTCCAGCAGTTCCAGCCATTCACTGGACCCCCTACCCCATTCATGTACCAGATTGCCGATCCCCCACTGTCTGACAACGAAAAAGCCACTACACAGGTCTATGGATTTGAAATCCCCACAGCTTTCTCTCCTCTCCTTGCAGTGCTGACCGTACGGACTTTAGAGATTCTAATTGGTCAGCACTGTCACATGGACAATGTTGACCAATCAGAAGCCATCTAGCCCATACTGTCAGCACTGCAAGGATAGGAAAGAAAACCATACGGATTTCAATTCCCCTGACCTGTGAAGCAGCTTTTCGTTGTCTGGGGAGGGGGTCCAGTGAAAATGGATGGAACCACTGGAGGCTGGGGGGGAAGGAGAGCCATGGGAGAGGCAGGAGGAGCCCAAGCCGCAGCCGCTGATGTCCACAGTGGGATTGGGAGACAGAGCTGGTGTAACCCGTCATGCCGGGAGGTTTCCGGAAACTGTGTGCACTCAAGGCTCAAAGTCACTATGACCAGCCCGGGTTCACACAGGATCTGTGCGGAAAACCACATGCAGTTTGGTCAGGAATCGCACCGTATTCCGGTTCAAATCGCATGCAATTCTTTGCAGTGCGATTTGAATCCGTTCATTTCGTATGGGCTCAAATCGTATCGCAAAGGTTTTGGTATCAGTATCGGTGCAACCCTAGTTTTGTTCCTTTTGGGATTAAGGTTTTACATGAATAAATAAAAGCTGATCATTGTAAGCACCCCTGTCAGTGTTAAATGTTTTTTTTTTCATCCCTCTAACTGTAAGAGAGCTTGTTCTTTTGAAAAAAAACAGACTTACTGGCCTGATCACCAGGTGAAGCTAGAAAAAAGTTAACCTAAAAAAAAAAGAAAACTAATGCAGCCGTCACATCTAAGAATCGGTAAGCTGTAATATAATAAAATGCTGGCTTTTGGGTTTGATACTGATTGAACCCCTTCAGGATGAAGGTAAAACAAATCCATGAACACGGTTTTGCAGCTTTGGCATGCGTTAGTAAATCTGTACAGATCATCACAATTACTTAGTGTACCCAGGTGGGTTGAATCGGTTGGGCTTGATTCTTTTTTCTAGACTAACACTGCATTTGTATTTTCAGGACAATGTGGGCTTTTTCTTACCTGGTAATATATATCTTCTGATGTATTATCAAAGAAAAACTGGCAAAAAAACAATCTTCCCTAATTCATCTGTATATTTCTTGCTATTACCATACCTGACTACTAAGGGCTCATGTACACTGCAGCTTATAAACTGACCTTCAGGAACTGTTCAGCGTTTTTTCCAGCAGCCCCTGAACTCTCCCGAATGTTTCCCTATGTGTCCATGTACACATCGTCCTTTACAGGCATTTACAGGCATTTGAGTTTACAGTCATTTTTTTTGAACGCAGAAAACTTGGCTCAGCAGTCGATTTTATCGGCATTTCAAACGCAAAACGCTTGGAAACGCGGCAAATTGTGTTTGTAAGCGTTTGAAATTTTTTTTAACTCTTCCAGTTCCTGATGCTCTCCAGAGCCCTTTTTCATCATGACAAATGCATGCAAAGCGTTTTCAAGGTGCTCAGATGGACAAAACACTGAACAGGGGATGTTCCAAGCAAGCTTGTCACACATTGTAATGACCAATTCACACCTCAGACCTCTCCCACCCTTGGAAACAAAAGATATGTTAATGATCATTCACACCTCAGACCTCTCCCACCCTTGGAAACAAAAGATATGTTAATGATCATTCACACCTCAGACCTCTCCCACCCTTGGAAACAAAAGATATGTTAATGATCATTCACACCTCAGACCTCTCCCACCCTTGGAAACAAAAGATATGTTAATGATCATTCACACCTCAGACCCTCTCCCATCCTTGGAAACACAAAATATGTTAGTGACCATTCACACCTCAGACCTCTCCCACCCTTGGAAACAAAAGATATGTTAATGATCATTCACACCTCAGACCTCTCCCACCCTTGGAAACAAAAGATATGTTAATGACCAATTCACACCTCAGACCTCTCCCACCCTTGGAAACGAAAGATATGTTAATGCTCAATCACACCTCAGACCTCTCCCACCCTTGGAAACAAAAGATATGTTAATGATCATTCACACCTCAGACCTCTCCCACCCTTGGAAACGAAAGATATGTTAATGACCATTCACACCTCAAATTCCTCATGAAGACCCCCTGCCAGGTGACCTTAATGACTCCCTCCACCAGACACCTTTCCCACCCTTTGAAACAAAAGAAATGTTAATGAGCAACTCACACCTAAGCTAATCTCAACACATACTGCTGTCTCTGCTTCTACTCTCTGTATTTCTCTGAAACAGTCTGAAATATTTAATAATTTACCACTTTTCAGTGCATTCTGGGCATTTGGGAGGTTCTCCTGTCCTTATCTTTAAAAAACGCTTCTAAACACAAACACACATAAACGCGTTATGCAAACGCGGCTAAACAGACGTTTTTTAACCTACATTTTCCAGCAGTCAGTTTTTTATCGTTCCGTGTACATGGGGCCTTAAGAGCAACCCAAAAAGTAATCCTCCTGCTACTGACAATCGCAGAAATACCACACATGCTATTTGTTGTTTAGACTCACAGGAGGGCCCAAAATGCACCAGTAATGCTCTTTTTGCTTTCTTTTTTTTTATCCTACCTAAGGCTGGGTTCACACTGATGCGGTGCGGAATTTGCAGCGTTTTTCTGTGCGAATTCCGCACTGCATCAGAATCGCACCCCGTTCATGCAAACCGCAGCAGATGTGAATACCCATGCGATCCTGTAACGGAACCGATTCAGACTGCACTTGGCTACTTCTGTTAGGATACCGCTTCCCTGTCCGAACACCAACAACGACGACCACCACAGCCGACCATACAAGACTAGACGACACCAGTCTTTAAGTAAACCAGGAGGTAGACTAGTTTATTTGAGCACAGATACAAGATATATACACTCAGGGGAAATCCCCCCTTCCCTGCATAATGACACAGGGTGGGGCAATCTACACTTAGCAACAAGAGACACACAGGTATTCAAACTTCACACCAGCAGACAGTCCCATCAGGAGGGAGGGCTGCTGGAGACACCCCCCAGTAAGCTAATACATAAACACATACATCCCATAATAGTTTGCTCCCAAGCCAGACACACAATAGAACAATGGTGATGCAACCTCATGACATTAAACAAGCAACAACCCCCCACCCCCCAATATTAGGACAGATCACCCTGTACCCCTAACAGCTACAGGGTGACTTACACATAAGAGGGATATGGGGACCTGAGACAGGAGTCTCCCCACCTCTCCAAAGTGAGCTGAGTTCCATGGGCCCCCCACCCAAAGCAACTCCCGTCACAGATCCGATTCTAGTGCGGACCCAAAAAAGGGTCCTGCACCTTTTCGGTGCGGGTGCGGTACAATTTGAGCCATAGAAAATGTATGTATCCAATCGCACCGCACACAAATCGCATGTGATTTGCACAGGAATACGGTGCGGTTCCTGTGCAAATCACACACCATGTACTGCACTGCATTAGTGTGAATCTAGCCTCAAACACACACTGTTTTGTTTTTTTTAAACACAAAATTCTGTGTGTGATTGGCCACAGAGGTCAGACGTTTCCTGTAAGTCTTCACAAGGTTGGCACACACTGTTGCTGGTATGTTGGCCCATCCTCCATGCAGATCTCCTCTAGAGCAGTGATGTTTTGGGGCTGTCGCTGGGCAACACGGACTTTCAACTCCCTCCAAAGGTTTTCTATGGGGTTGAGATTTGGAGACTGGCTAGGCCACTCCAGGACCTTGAAATGCTTCTTACGAAGCCACTCCTTCGTTGCCCGGGCGGTATGTTTGGGATCATTGTCATGTTGGAAGACCCAGCCATGTTTCATCTTCAATGCCCTTGCTGATGGAAGGGCCAACATACCAGCAACAGTGTGTGCCAACCTTGTGAAGACTTCCAGGAAACGTCTGACCTCTGTCATTGCCAACAAAGGATATATAACAAAGTATTGACATGAACTTTTCATATTCACCAAATACTTATTTTCCACCATAATTTGCAAATAAATTCTTTCCAAATCAGCCAATGTGATTGTGTGGATTTTTTTTCTCATTTTGTCTCTCATAGTTGAGGTCTACCTATGATGCCAATTACAGGCCTCTCTCATCTTTTTAAGTGGGAGAACTTGCACAATTGGTGGCTGACTAAATACTTTTTTGCCCCACTGTATGTAATTCCATTCATTCGGCTTCATTCAGCCTGATCTGCATTCAGTAACCACGTACATTTTTTGTTTTTTTGCAGGTCTCCTGGAAGTAGACATCTCAAGCTGGAGCCATGAGTGCCCCCAAACAATGGGACATCAGCAAAACCTTGGCCATTGCCAGTTTATTCAATTTCTTCCACAGCGTAGGAAATTTCTGCATCTTTCCCTTCCTCACCATCTTCTTCCGACACTTCGGACTAAGCCCTCCGCTGGTGGGCATTATAATGGGGGCAAAACATATCGTCTTTGCTCTCTGGGCCCCATTTTGCTCTTTTGTGGCCAAGACCAACAGCAAGAGGAGGATAATCATTATTTCTTCTTTGCTTTTTTCGGCGGCGGCTAGCGGAGTCTTCACCTTTTTCCCATCGCTGCAGCAGGACATGGTCCGTAGGTTCTGCAACGTTAGTATGTCATGGACAAACAAACAGACTGTAGCGGGTGCCATGGACATAGAAATGTTCGGGCCTGAGGACAACGGCAGTTTTGTGTTGCCTGAACCTCCCCAGATAACTACGATGGCATCGGTCATGTTTACAAGTCTAAGCGACGCAACTTCCATAGCAAAGTCTGCCGTGGAAACTAAAATGACTCCTGAAGCCTTGAAGAATGGATATCCTGAAACTCCTCATCACTCAGATTTATCCGCACGTTTTAAAACTTCCATCACCCCCAAAAAACTGTCCAAAACAGATGCTTCTAAAAGGTTTACCAATGCGAAGGATAGAATCACCACCAGTGAGCAATCTACAATCAGCCCAGAGCTGAGCACCCATTTACTTGATTCAGTTGTGAGGACCTCTTTAGCAAAGGAACCTCAGGATGACAATACTAGTTCCATCACTTTCCACTCGCAAACTGATTCTTCAAACCACGATGTGCCAAAGAAAAGAGACCTTGCCAAAAGGACTACCCAACCTGAGCACTTTCTGATTGAACATAAGATATTCCTAGTTGTCCTGGGAATTGTACTGATTTGGGAAATTGTTGCTTCACCTCTGGAGTGGACAGCAGATGACAGCGTTTATGAATACCTTGACTTTGTGGATGCCACAGATAGGCACGAGAAGATCTGGATCTGGCGTTATTTGGGGGCTTGCCTCGGATCCTTCTCCATTGTTTTTCTGATAGACAACGTCAACTGTTTCTTGATCCCAGGCCTTCCCAGAGTCTACCTCCATTTTTATGGTTACTCCGCCTTCATGATTATCACATTTCTGTTGAGCACATTGTATCCCATACATGTCTCAAAGAAAACGGAACACGCAAGCAAGACCATAAAAGCTTTAGGCCTCATGGGAAGTGATGGGCGTATCATCTTGCTGTCGGTGACTGTATTTTTGATGGGTGCCGTGAGGTCCACCGCCGACAATTTCCTATTTTGGAAGATGCAGGATATGGGGAGTTCTGAACTTTACATGGGACTTTCTGTGGTCCTCGCCCTAGTTTCTGAAATTGGCCTGTACATTTTTAAAGGCAAACTCATGAGGTCCTTGTCCTTCAAGTGGATGGTGGCTCTTGGTCTCCTGTGCCAAGCAGTAGAGTTTTTGTATTATTCTTTTCTGTGGGCACCTTGGGCCGTGTTACCTATTCAGTTCTCAAGCGCCTTCAGCAACGGTGTTCTTTTGTGGGCCATCAAATCCCAAGTTGATGACGTAGCCACGCCAGGAATGGAGAGGTCCATCCAGCTTGTCCTGCACTGCTTATCGCACCACTTTGGAGCTAGCCTAGGCAGCTTTGCCAGTGGGTTTGTCATCAGCAGTTTCAGCCTTGCCATTCTCTTCCAGTCCTGCTGTGTGTTGTTGTTGATCTGGCTTCTGATGTTTTTGGTCATCCAACCCAAACTTCCTCACATCAAGAAGATCAACTACTCGCGACTTCTTGCCCCCGACAACAGCGACATGAGTGACTCTGAGGACGAGCAGGAAAGGGACTGGCTGGTCAAGGCCATGAAAGATGACAGTAAAATATGGTAGCCTTGGACGTTGTCTGTTGTCCGTGACGAATACTTGACGTATCCAGGACCCCAGCCTGGAAATATCCAAAGTTCTTATTCGGAGCAGCTCATTTCTCATCCACGGGACTCGTAGAACTTGTCCTGCACCCAATATTTCCTGCACTGTAGGTATAGTATGGGAAATGCCAGGCAAAGGCATGGGCCCCTTGTAAGAGCCTAGCAACGCTTGAGACCGAAATCTCTCTACGGTGAAATCACAAAAGAGCGAAGAGGAAAGTTTACTCCAGAAGGTTGGCAGTCCTGGGCCTGAGGTCCATATAGTTAAAATGCTGCTGATGTCATCAACAAAAAGACTCTGAATTTTAGAACAACCTTTATAATCTGTGATAATGGCTTTGAATGCAAAGGAGAATAATATATTCTTTAATTACAAGAGTTATGTCGTGATTTGAAATGCTGACTTAAAGCTCAAACAGCTAAAAAACAGATAAAATATACACGGGGTTGCCGATTATATTTGTGTCCATCCAGTCCTGAGAATAACACAGCTCTGCCACACAGCACAGCCCCATCTGGTAGGGCAGGAGACCTGATTTTTTTTATTACAGTAACTCTCTCCCAGCATGTGATTGGACAATGAATGAGGAGTTATTTGCTCTATCACTCTCTCCTCCAGTCAGCATGCTTCACACACTAGTTTTGTGCTGCTTCTACCTCCCCCGCTCTGAGCTCTGTTGTACAGTAGACTGCAAGATGCTGATAACAGATACTTACACTGCTTGTATTTAAAAACTATATAAGTAGAACTCTTTTGGATAGAGTAAAGGAGGGTTATAACCCCTGTCAGATATTTTTTCAACATCTGTGTCCCAATGCGAAGATTTCCCTTCACTTCCTGTCCCATAGCCAAAATAGGAAGTGAGAGGAAATCTCTTCAAAGTGGTTGTCACCAGAACTAGTGTCCCCATTGAAACTAAAGGCGTTCCTTCTTCAGTTTAGACAGAGTAAAGGAGGGTTATAAACTCCATCTGTGTCCCATTAGGGAGATTTCCCTTCACTTCCTGTCCCATAGCCAAAACAGGAAATGAGAGGAAATCTCTTCAAAGTGGTTGTCACCAGAACTAGTGTCCCTGAAACTAAAGGCATTCCTTCTTCAGTTTGGACAGAGTAAAGCAGGGTTGTAAACCCCATCTGTGTCCCAATGCGGAGATTTCCCTTCACTTCCTGTCCCATAGCCAAAACAGGAAGCTAGAGGAAATCTCTTCAAAGTGGTTGTCACCAGAACTAGTGTCCCCATTGAAACTAAAGGCATTCCTTCTTCAGTTTAGACAGTAAAGGAGGGTTATAAACCCCATAGGTGTCCCAATGCCGAGATTTCCCTTCACTTCCTATCCCATAGCCAAAACAGGAAGTGAGAGGAAATCTCTTCAAAGTGGTTGTCACCAGAACTAGTGTCCCCATTGAAACTAAAGGCGTTCCTTCTTCAGTTTGGACAGAGTAAAGGAGGGATATAAACCCCTTCTGTGTCCCATTGGGGAGATTTCCCTTCACTTCCTGTCCCACAGTCAAAACAGAAAGTGAGAGGAAATCCCTCCAAAGCAAGCGAATCCTGTGGTGTTGCCAGAACTAGTGTCCCCATTGGAAGATCTCCCCTCTATTCCTGATCTGGTGATAACTCAAAGTCTGGGAATTTCTTTCATTTTCGGTGCTAGTAGTAAACAGGACAAACTGAGAGGGCGAATCTCCCAAACAAGAAGTGAGAGGAAATCCCTGCAAATTAACTCTTCACGCCGGCAGCACACAACTGTGCGACCTCCCGGTGTCTGGGCCTAGACGCCCAGCGGCCGCACATTTGCGTTCTATTAAAAAAGGACATAAGTGCCGAGAGCACGCGCCCTGCCCGCTCCCAGCACATGTCCGGTACTCACGGAAAGGTCCCGATCTCCTCTTTTGATCAGGACCTTTCCCGATCACATGACCCTAAACCCGCCCCGCCTCCCGGCTTCTGAACCCTTAAAGGGCCGGAAGGTGCTGGCGTGAAGGGGTTAAAGGGATGCCTTGGGGACTCCCCAGGTCACCAGAACTAGTGTCCCCATTGGAAGATTTCCCCTCTGTTCTTTTTCTGGGGACTACCGAAAATGTGTTTTTTTTTTTTTTTTTCACTTTCAATGATAATGGTTAACAGGACAAATAGAGAGGGGGGGGGGGGGCATCCATTCCATCCTCCATCCAGCCTTTAGTTATACTTTAATGCAGAACTCCAACCTCCCCTTCAGTCTTGACAGCAGCACAGGCTCCTCTTATGTGCTGACATCACTCGGATTTCACTGCACACTGTGAGCTTCTCACAACGTACATTAAAATCCGCAGCAAATCAGATAGAGTTCGCCTCATTTCCTGACTGAAGGACGCCAAGCATCATCTAGCCCTTTTCTCCTAAGCCTGACTGTCCTCATTCCCCCCCCTTTTCATTGGATTCCAGTTCTCCCAACCGTGAAGGCTTAACAGCCCATGTGGGCATCACCAAGAGTGGTTTGCATGCCAGTGCAGCCTGCCTAGGTATGGCCGTGCCTTCAAAGCGATACCCGCCAAAAAAGACAGTTTGATATTTGCATAACTCCTCCCAAGGCACAGCCCACTGCTTGCATCAGGGCTCAGGCAAGGTGCTGTGATGCGAGGAAGCTAAGTACAGCCCCCTGCCAGCCCCTCCCACCAGCCATGATCTGCCTGCATTGCATCAAGAAGCAGAGAGACCCAATATTGAAGAATCAGGGAAGAGGGCAAAATGTAAACAGATAAAAACGTCAGTTTTAGTGACGTATTTATGACTATAGAGCTGCATTCATTTGTACTTTTTATATCTGCTGGAAGCAGCTTTACACTCTTGTATTTATTGCTAAAAACGTGCAAATGTTTGGCAGTGTCTGGTTCATTCAGGTCAGGAGGTAGGAGCAAGGCATGCTGGGAAGATGGAGGCTGCAAGTCCTCACTGTTTTATAAAGGCTGCCAATCTTATCCTCCCGCTACTTGGTCAGTCACTAACCTGACCTGGAACAATCATGCGTGTTAGTTGTCAGGAGACCTGATGTACACATGCTTGTCCTGGGAGCGTGATTCATTAGTTCTGAAAGAAGAGGATGAGGGTGACAACCCTGAAGAAGCAGCAACCACATTGTGGTCCTGACAGATTCCCTTAAATCTTAAAGTGTTACTAAACCCCGGACCCCGTATTCTCTATATCCGCTCTCCCCGGACTCTGCATTCACTATATCCGCTCTCCTCGGACCCTGCATTCACTATATCCGCTCTCCCCGGACCCTGCATTCACTATATCCACTCTCCCCGGACCCTGCATTCACTATATCCACTCTCCCCGGACCCTGCATTCACTATATCCACTCTCCCCAGACCCTGCATTCACTATATCCGCTCTCCCCGGACCCTGCATTCACTATATCCACTCTCCACGGACCCCGCATTCACTATATCCGCTCTCCCCGGACCCTGCATTCACTATATCCGCTCTCCTCGGACCCCGCATTCACTATATCCACTCTCCCCGGACCCTGCATTCACTATATCCACTCTCCCCGGACCCTGCATTCACTATATCCGCTCTCCCCGGACCCTGCATTCACTATATCCACTCTCCACGGACCCCGCATTCACTATATCCGCTCTCCACGGACCCCGCATTCACTATATCCGCTCTTCCCGGACCCCGCATTCACTATATCCGCTCTCCCCGGACCCCGCATTCACTATATCCCCTCTCCACGGCCCCCACATTCACTATATCCGCTCTCCCCGGACCCCGCATTCACTATATCCCCTCTCCACGGCCCCCACATTCACTATATCCGCTCTCCCCGGACCCCGCATTCACTATATCCCCTCTCCCCGGACCCTGCATTCACTATATCCGCTCTCCCTGGACCCTGCATTCACTATATCCGCTCTCCCCGGACCCCGCATTCACTATATCCGCTCTCCCCGGACCCCGCATTCACTATATCCGCTCTCCCCGGACCCCGCATTCACTATATCCGCTCTCCACGGACCCCGCATTCACTATATCCGCTCTTCCCGGACCCCGCATTCACTATATCCGCTCTCCCGGACCCCGCATTCACTATATCCCCTCTCCACGGCCCCCACATTCACTATATCCGCTCTCCCCGGACCCCGCATTCACTATATCCCCCTCTCCACGGCCCCCGCATTCACTATATCCGCTCTCCCCGGACCCTGCATTCACTATATCCGCTCTCCCCGGACCCTGCATTCACTATATCCGCTCTCCCCGGACCCCGCATTCACTATATCCGCTCTCCCCGGACCCCGCATTCACTATATCCGCTCTCCCCGGACCCCGCATTCACTATATCCGCTCTCCCCGGACCCCGCATTCACTATATCCGCTCTCCCCGGACCCCGCATTCACTATATCCGCTCTCCCCGGACCCCGCATTCACTATATCCGCTCTCCCCGGACCCCGCATTCACTATATCCGGTCTCCCCGGACCCCGCATTCACTATATCCGGTCTCCCCGGACCCTGCATTCACTATATCTGCTCTCCCCAGACCCTGCATTCACTATATCTGGTCTCCCCAGACCCCGCATTCACTATATCCGCTCTCCCCGAACCCCGCATTCACTATATCCGCTCTCCCCGGACCCCGCATTCACTATATCCGCTCTCCCAGGACCCTGCATTCACTATATCCGGTCTCCCAGGACCCAGCATTCACTATATCCGGTCTCCCAGGACCCAGCATTCACTATATTCGCTCTCCCCGGACCCCGCATTCACTAAATCTGCTCTCCCCGGACCCCGCATTTACTATATCCCCGGACCCCGCATTCACTATATCCGCTCTCCCTGGACCCCGCATTCACTATATCCGCTCTCCCCGGACCCTGCATTCACTATATCTGCCCCCCCGGACCCCGCATTCACTATATCCGCTCCCCCCGAACCCCCACATTCACTATATCCGCTCTCCCTGGATCCCG